CATTTATGTGAACCACGTCGTAGCGCTCACGCGGAGGACAAAATTTTAAGGGCGTTTCAGCTCGGCGCTTTCTTTGCCTTATGTAACGTCAGAGCCTCCACTCCTCTGAAGGCTGAAAATGAAAACGCCGTTTATGAATGCTTGATTTAAAATACAATTACTCTACCAGAGAAGCACACAAAAGTCAGATTTGTCCCGGAAGATTAGCCATTGACAATGAGGTCTAAATGTTTTCTTGAATAGCAAATTTGACCAGACAATCCCTACGGAGATGAAATTGTTTGTTTCAACTTTTTTTGTTCAGATGTGTTCTATGTTGTGGCGGCAGCCCAGAAGCACTATACTAGTATTTCTGGGCCGTCGTGAGAAAAACCAATAAAACTAATTTTAAAACGAATAATTACATTTCAACACTGCGCTTGACGGCGGTCTGTGAAGCTCCTTTGGAATGCCGCCACGTCATCGGCCTCTAAAAAGCAGCGCCAGCTCGCGGCAGCATGGCTCGCTCGTGGAGTTACTTAGCCGGGAATGTGACTTGGCGGAGAACGCTAACTTTGTTTACTACGTTGTATATATTAAAGCTTTTACAGTGCTTCCGCAATGTGCATTCCACACCATTAAGATAACCGCTCTTTGCAGACGGTAGGTAGGAGCTTGACCTGAAAATGCGAAAACCTCTGCTAGGCCAACCATAACCCCCCCCCCCCCCCCCCAACCCCCGGGGATGCGCTGTAAATAACGCGCCCAAGTACGGCACAAGTATTGCAAGCTATCTAAATAGCTTGCAGGTGTCGCTATTGCTGGCTACTGAGGGGGGGGGGGGGGGGGGGGGGAATCGGTGGCCGAGTGGGCTAGCGGCGCCAGTCTTGTACACGTTACTAAAAAAAACTAATCGATTACAATTACTATTACTCTTGGCTAAAAAGTATTCGATTAGATTACTTGATTACTCGACGGTAAAAGTAATTGGACATTACTTAAAGAAGTAATCGTTACTTTTCCGATTACTTTATTGTGTGAAGACACATCTTTAGCGCTCATAACAATGCACTACTTCCAAACTATATTTCACATTTCCACAAGTATTGAAGAAAAACTGGCTCCCTCTTCGTGGTCGTTGCACCTTCACAATGCGGACACAAGCATAGAATTCGTTTGAAGACGTTTAATGATCTAAGCGTTCGCCAGTGTTTTTTTTTTTTTTTTTTTTTGGGGCGGGGGGGGGGGGCGGGGGGGAGGAGCGGAGGGGGTTCTAGATCTTGTTAAGCTTGAGCAAGGGTTGTCGCTCATTTTATTATTCACATGTGGATGAGCTCGCATGTTACACAAGAGAGCAGCAGCTCCAGGATTTGGAACGGATCATGTGTAGTATCCATTAGCGGAAGAGATCGCCCCGACCACTTCTCAACTTGCAACATTGCTTGTCACAAAGACAAGGTAGGGGAAAGGGGGAATATTTAAACTGCCTTTGTTATATTTTGCATCCGCTTTAGGCATTCTTCGGTTCTGGTTCTCCTACGGGCTGCGAGTAGGTACCCTAAGCAGGATTTTTTTTTCTGTGTGTGCGTGCGTGAGGGGGCTAGTTTGAACGAAGGACTCACAAAGCTACATTCTGCTTCCTCAAACTTCGCCCTCAATGGCCTTTGTCACGCACTGTGGCTTCCCTGGGGCTTCCCACTCCCAGTCCCAGCTCGAAAAAAAAAAAAAAACGGATATTCCACAGAAACTGTAGATAGAAAGAAATTGACCTCGTTTCCTACAGCTCCGCAAAAATCTTTCTTTTTTTCGTTCAAAAAAAAAAAAAAGCAAATTTTATTTTTGTCATTTCATAAAAAAAGGTGTGTGCCCGGGGGGGGGGGGGGGGGGGGTCCCGTGAAATTGTAACGGTTACAAGTAATTTTATTACTTCAAAAAGTAATCAGATTACCCTTGTGATTACTTCCTAATAAAAGTAATCAACTGATTACAAAATTACTCCAAAAAGTAATCGATTACAAGTAATTTGATTACTTGTAATGCGTACGGTACAAGCCTAGCGCACACCAGCTCGGAGCACGTGGAGCGAAAGCTCGCGCTGCAGAACCCAGGGATCCTGGTTTCAGTCCCCAGCCCTGTCCATTTCGATCTGCATGAGCATCGTACCAGCGTGCGGTCGTGTATCACTACTGCGTGGTGCACGTTAAAGACCCCAGGCTAGCGCTTGTATTGAACTGGCTAAATTTCACATTTAGAGCGAGTGACTCGTCGCAACTTTGAAAAGGCTGACGAAATACACGCTGTCTAAATATCCGCACAACCGCAATTATTTTGCTGGGTACTGAGGGTTCTTAGGTTCTTTATACTTACTGGTTCCCCCGTGCTGCGATGTGTAACTAACACGGTGAACCGAACGTTTGTGGCACAAAGAATTCTGGCATGGCCGCGAATGACGTTACGGACAAGCTATGTAAAGGGTGTTTTCACCGACGTTATTTCGTCCCCCATTTTGTTCTAACAGACTGGCGCGTCCAGAAGGCCAGCACTCCGAAGATGCACCTCACACCCTAAAATTGTTAGTGCACAAAATCTTACAAGTTTCATCACGCTGACATCTAACAAAAATGGCGGATTGACGTCATGGGAAAGCACCCTATAGGCCATAGGACGTACAGCCGTCGGATATTACTACTAGGCGTGATTGTTACGCGTTGACGCCACCAAGCGGCAACACTCTCAACTACAGTACCCTTGGCTGTGCAGAGGCACTTGACGTCACGAGCGCAATATGGACTGCGCTTCTCGCTGGCCCATTTTGAAGCGAGGAGCCACGGCATTTCGTTTCCGTACCCCTTTAAGGCTGAACGGAGTATAGAGCGATGCTTTTGGTTGCGCACGTCACCAATCGCCAGTGACGGGATTAAGACAAAAATGGCGTCTCCTTGCGATGCTCGGACTCAGCACGCGCTCATTGCCTTCCGTGGTGCTGTCTTCGCCTGCAAGCTCACGAGACGTCGCAGTGTTATCCGAGGTAGAAAGCTCGCGTTAGAGGCGGGACAACTAAAATACTTCCGTGTCGCGTTCATCTTGTGACTAATGTTGTTGTTACCATTCCATCGGTTATCACTAGGCCAGCGAAAATATGCGACCACGGTTGGGCATTCGATAAAGCCTCTTGATTAAACTCACGCTTTGCGTCGCGTCAAGGGGCATCGTGGCCATGTCGCCAGCAAAATGTTGTGCGATGTATAAAAAGAAAGTGTGTTGCACCCCGTAAATTTGAGCGCTTCTTACGTGCGTCATAAATGCACTCAAGCGTCTGGTCGTTTCCTCAATAATGACGCGTTAATATGCGATTTTTGTGAACGCGTGGTACGGAGAATGAACGGTCTTTAATCGCGCACCATGTTGCTCACACAATTCTGGCACTAGCTGGGACCAAAGCCGTTTGACACAAACACATTAAGGGGTCTTTAGCTGGGGCGGTCGACGCTCTAAGGCGGTTGCAACGGAACGAGGAAGCTCGGCAAAAAAAAATTAGACCCGCAAATGATCATGTTCTCGGAACGCGGCTGAAAGGGACGAAACACCAGCGACGGACGCTGGAGCGAGGCGTAACAAAACAAGAGAGCCGAGACACCAAAATACGGTTGCGTGTGGAGGTGTGCCCCGCATACCAGGCAAGGAGACGTCGGAACAGGGCTGCGTTTTTATCTCGGTTTGGAATCCGTCGCTGAGAGGCGTTTGAAGCGGGAGTGCGCGCTTGCTTTCCTGTTTTTGCTTGCTCGCCTGACCCTAATGAAAGCCGTGCTATAGATTCCGCGAACCCCATTCATCATTTCCCTGTCGTACCTTTCTCGCTGGCGGGCCCTGCCGCGCGCTCAACCAGTTGCCTGTTCGGACGAGGTACGAGACATTTGTTCAAGTAGTGGGCGAGGAAATATTTCTCAACGCGCGCAAAATGGCAGACGAAAGAAATCAAAACGCCACAAAGAGGCACGCCATTCATTTAAGAACGCCGCAAAATAAAAAGGAAACAAAGCAACAGCAACTTTAGCGTGACCCAAAATGACACATAATAAGGCTCGAGCGTTACAAAATGACAGACGATAGATCTTACACCGTTACAAAATGACCGAAGATAAGTTTCGGACCGTTACAAAATGACCAACAATAGATTTCAGAGCGTTACAAATAATCAATGACGGGTTTCAGACCGCTACAAGATGACCGACGCTAAATTTCAGAGCGTTATAAAATGGCGGACAAGACATTACATAACATCATAGAAGGAAACACCATTTACTTAAGAGAGTCCAATTTGTCATTCGAAGAGAGTTGTAAAATAACAGGGGAGAAACTTTACGAATGCCACAAAATTACAGACAATAACTTTTAGACTGCTACAAAATAAGAGACGATAGACTTTAGCGAGTAACAAAACAGCACGCCCCTCATTTCAGAGCGTCACAATATGGCACACGGCTTGTTCTAGGGTGTTGAACAACATCAGACGGTAGTTTTCAAAGTATCCCACAATGGCAGACAATTGTGTTCAGGGTGTCACAGAATTACCCACGATTCATTTCAGAGCGCCACAGAATGACAGACCATAGTTTGGAGAGTAAATCGAAATAGCAGACGTTAGATTTCAGAGCGTCACAAAATGGCGCACGACTCATCTCAGAAAGTCATAAAATGGCGGACGTTTCAGCAGACGATACATCTTCGAGCGATAGAAAGACGGCAGATATTTTTAATCCCCAGGAAACCGGAATTTTCGAATGTCGGGTCCCAACCCTTCGGGTCTTTCGAGCAGCTTAGGGCTTCCCACTGCGCATGAGCAGAAGTTCTACGCATGCGCGGTGCGACGCCCCAAGCTGCCCAAGGGACCCAGAACAAGAAGGTCGCCTATTCTAAAACTCCCAAATATAAAGTTCTGAGTTTTCTCTGACAGAGAGAATCTAAACCTCCGGCTTGAAATATTCACGCTAACGGAATTCTTTTTTTTTTTTTCACCGCAGACTGCGCAGGAGAATGCAGTTCGCTCTGATTTTCCTGGTGCTCGCCTTCTTGGCCGGGACGGGCACTCTCTGGGCCTGGCCGTCAGGGGCACCGCACAAAGCGTGCGACTCTCAGACCCCACAGCACGGAGAAAACCAGCCGCAAACCACCCAGTCCCCGTTCGTGGTCCACGCCACTCCAAATGCCGTAGGCCAAGGACAGCACGTCACTGGTCAGTCCGGTCTTGAGACCCATCGAGCAACCCGTTCTATTACAAGAACTTCATAAACCTCGCTTGATGTAGTGCAATTTCACTCGAAAAAAAAAAAAAAAAAGTCTTTGAAAACGTCGTTAACGTGTCCCTCGAAGATTGACACACACAGGACATGTCCTGTGCCAAGGAAAGGACATCAGTGATCAGTCCTGGTTTTGAGAGCCATCGTGGAAGCCTATTCGAAAAGCTCCGCAAAGGCAACTTAATGCAGTAATTTAAAAGAAAAATAATGAAAGCTTGCCATTGACGTTATCAGTAACGTTGCCATGAAAGGCGTTCGCTCACTAGACATGTGCTGTGCCAAGAAGGGCACGTGACTGGTCAGTCCTGGTCTTGAGGCCCATCAAGCTGCGTGTTCTATATGATGGCCTCCATAAAGGCCGCTTCATGTTGTGTTCCTTTTTCCAATAGAAAAACAAAAAACAAAAAAACAATGAAACAACAACAACGTTTAGCTTTGACAATAGAGAGTTTTAGTATTGTGTTGAACCAAACGCAAGCGTTGTGCGCATGCCTTAGCGTTGCTTGCTACACGCTGCGCATGTGCGTCGTCGCCATGCAACAATCCAAGACCGCAGTTTGGACTCCGCGCACGCGCATCGTGGAACACGCAAGCGCACACTGCTTGCGTTTGCTCCCATACGCAATACTAAAACACTCTAAAAATTCACTACCATTAGCAACGTTTCACTAAAAGATCAACTAACGCATCTTAGATAACAAACACGCGGTGCTGCACTCGCCATGGTCCCATAGTTGAGTCAGACGCACAAGTCAGATTGGGCACGCGTGCTGCATGAACGTTCGTTCGGGGCTCGTGGGTTGCACTGATCGCACAAGAGATCCAGCTCTGATACAGTCCAATATGAGTTATCGCCTCAACTAGGTGACGTGGAAAGTCCAGCACAACGGCTCTGTTATCTAGGCGGACTTGCGTGGGCACTCGGCGGACATGTGTTGTGCCCACAACTCATATGAGCAGAAGCGTTTAGTCATAAATAATAAGATAGACCTGAGTAGTTAGCCAGTCATGCCAATGGGCGGCACGACAAATACGCTGGTTAGCCGCATGCTAGATTAAAAAAAAATACACGAGGTGTGATGAGGATTGCGATTGGCAATAGTAGGGATGCCAACCGGTCTACTATCTATATGCTTTTTACTAGCTGTTTGTTTGTAAACCATGGCAACGACCTGCTAAAACACTATTGGCGTTGTACAGAAAATCTAAAAGAAAACGGCTATATTGAAGACCGAGCTGATAATTTGCGTTGTCCTTTCTGTTGTGGCCACGGGGGCACACTCTGACAGTTCCCGTGTCAGCCTAACATGGACCGCAGATGAGGCTATCAGTGAGAGTTCCTCGCGTTGAAGCCCTCAACGGCTGCACAAACGCCAGAGCAACCGGAGCACATTGCGAAACAATCCACGCGCGCTTGCATCCTTTGCTGCGGTCCACGTTGACGTTAGACAGAGCACAAGAAAGACAGCAGGAGTGTGCTTTCTGTAGTTGTAGTGCTTGGTCATGTCGTCACAGTATATCAGGGACGGGCAACAAATTGCTCCTAGCTAGCTTACCAAATCGAGGTAGTATCATCGACGAAGTTTCTCACAATTTCGCCGGTCCGTTTCCCCAGTGACCGTATACGGCAGCATACCTTTCAAGGGAATCCTCCTGACGGCACGAGACGTAAACACCAGTCAAATCTTGCACGGAACCTTCACCGCCGACGAGAACAGCAAGACCTTGGACTGTTCCGGAGGACAAGCGGTAGGGTAATTTTTTCCCTTCCTCGGATGATTTTTCTTCATGTCTGTCTAAACGGCTCACCATAAAAAATATTTCGGGCACTTCTATTGCAGAACGCGATCACTCACAGATGCAGCACCGAGAAGAGTCAGGTGGCTGTGTACTGGACACCACCTAGTGGTTACACTGGACAAGTCTACTTCAGGTGAGACCCAAGGACCATAAATAGACTTGGTGACACGATCCGCAACCGTTCCTTTTGTTTTCTTTCTCCCCAACACAGCGCAACCGTCGTGCAAGCCTTCAACACTTACTGGAAGGGAATCACCTCCGACGGTGTCTTTGTGCAGTAAAGAAATAAAGAAGGGTGAATTCGGTTGGACGGAAAGTTGGAACCTATTGCTGGGCAATCTCTCGCTTGAAAACAAGCGACAGAACTTCTCGGAAGGACGGGTAGACCACGATCTCCTTGAGTCGTTCCAGAGCCCAGCGGCTCCCCGTAACCATGAGCTGGAGGAACCATTCTTCGAGGCGGTCCTTACGCAGCTCGACTTGGATGTCGCGCACGCCGGACCAGTCCATTATGATGGACGCGAAGACGTCCTCGTAACGACGGAGGATGAGAAAAAATTCGTCGTCCTCCTTGTCGATGTAGATACGGATCAGCTCCGTGGTCGGACATCCCCTCGGTGCGGTACGCAGGTAGGCCAGATTGCCCGAAACTGACAGCCTGTTGAGCGTGATCAAGGCCAGGTGTCCCAAGCGATAGCGGCGCCGGCATTCCTTGCTGATCAACTCGCCGTTGCTGCCTCCCTGGAAGATTTTGAGGCACCAGGCGCAGGCAAAGCGAAGGCACAAGATCACCAGCTTGTGCGGCTGCACGTCGCGTGAGAGCGATCGGGACACTTTGACGCACGCCTCGCGCATGATACCTTTGTACATGCTCAACTCCTGAACTTCCTTGACGAAGAGGAACTCGCGGCTGGAGTCGATCCAGTCGTACATCAGCTTCAGAAGGTTGTTCAGCAGCTGAACGTCCAGGTTCTCAGACGGTGTCTGAGAGAGCAGTAGGGCGCTCAGCCGCTCGCCGAAGCTTTGGCGAGGTACGGGTGACGGCACGCAGGAGGAGAAGCAATCCACCAGGATGCGCATCAGCAGGTCCGACACGACCCAGGGAAAGCTCTGCACGCCTCCCTCGGAGCCCTGGAGCTCGTAGGTCACTTGGTACCAGGCGGAGGCCTTGCGCATCAGATGGGTCAGGTCTTGATCGCCGGCGAAGAACTCAGCCCGCGTGCGGCGAACCACGTGCTCCACCTGACTCTCGAGGACCATGGCCACGTCGGTTGGATCGTTCTTCTCCTTGACGTACTTGTTGAACTTGGACACGGCTCCAGAGAGGGCCTCGCTCTCGCACTCGATGCCGTAGGACTTGAGGAGCGCGCGGATCTTCATGGCGTAACGTCGGTAGGACGTCCGCGCCGACTCGATAAACTCTTCGCGACCGTCCACGAGCAGTCGCGGGTCCGGCAGGCTGTCTTCGACAACTTCCAGACACTCCGTGCTCAGCTCGACCTTCTTACAATTGCGGTACAGTTGGCCCAGCACTTTCTTCGAGCAGTAGGTGTTTTTGGTGTCCAGTTTTTCCATGAAGTCGGGGTACATCGGTGGCTTCTCCGAGTTCTGAAAGCCCTTGAGGTCGCCGCGCTTGGCGAAGTCCAGGTTGACGGCGCACTTTCGCGCAAGGTCGCGGCAGCGCCGCGAGTTGATGCCGCCGTCCAGCATGTCCGCCCAGACCAGATGGGCGTTCGCGATCAGACCAATCTTGTCGCCCTTGATGTACTGGCAGAAGAAGTCGATCATGTCCTGCACCTGCAACACGTTCTTTGCAGAGGCTTGCACCGCCTAGCTAGAACCTCTAAGCGTTACCACACCAGATGGGTCAATAACGAAACTTCGCACGCCGTGTAAAAAGAAACTCCTCTGGCTCAAGATTAACTGGATGCTAAGGAAAACTCGGGACGTCGCGTTATTGAGTGGACTTTCAGAACGAGTTTTTTAAGCACTTCTCCCGGAATTGAAGGCTGCGTTTTGACATGTGACGCTTCTATTGGTCACGAAGCAGGCTGATAGATGGGCCAAAAGACCAGTCAAGTCGTTACGCGAAATATTGTCCACAATACTGACTTTGTGCGGCGACAATAGAGGTAAGACGTACTATTACCAAAGACTTGCGCGTTTCATTTATATATCCAAATACCTCAGCACAGGCCACATACCTCTATAGGTGCCTTCCTTTCTTTCGGAGGGTCGCTGTAGTAATGCATGGGGCTGCAGTTATTCCTGAATATCAGGTCTTCGTACCAGAGCACCGAGTACTCGTCGCCATCCAGATCCGAACCTTGAACAAAACGCGTTTTTTGGTGTTAACTAAACTATAGAGCTAGGTGGCTAGATTGCATATAGCAAAAGTAAAAGGTGTGCGCTCCAGCGTAACTGCAGAATCAGTGCCAGCACCAACCCCCCCCATTTTCCGGTCCAAAGGTATGTCGCAAAACTTCCCTGATATAAGATCCTATATGTATAAGATATTTCTTGGTGCAATAAACGCATATGATTAAATAAGATTATATAAGAGCATAGAATAAACTTATAACAACAGTATAAGATTACATAAGAAGATATGAAAAAGTTTTTGATCGGTTTCTTGTAACTGCTTATATAATATGCATTTAGGATTTTTTTACTAGGGTTAGCAGTCGACCTGTGAGTTTTGTGTTTGATACAAAGATTCCAATATATTATTGCCGGATACAATTCAAGAATGCGCCGGAGATTCCACCTCCGGCATGCGCTAGCTGCCTTCCATCGCGCCTCGGCTGGACGTGCTCATGGGATTACAAGTTACCCAAGGTAGAAAAGCTCGCGCTAGAGGCGGAGAATTCTGGCGCGTTCTAAACTGTTACCTGGCCATTGTGCCACGAAAATGAACTTCAAATTTCGCAGTCAAAAACACGTAACCCGAAGGCTTAAGACACACACATCGCGCTATATGAACGAGCGATTTTGACACTTGCAAACGAGAAAGTGTGCCAGACCAGGTTATTTTCCCAGATGCTGGGAAGCTCATTTCGATTTCTAATACTTCGTTTCAGCTGAAGTCCAAAAGCAGTAGTCGACACTATGAGGTAATGGATCCAACAAAACAACGTTAAAAGTGCAAGTCACTAGGCTTTTTCTGTAGATTATTGGTCCAGCGATGACATATAGAACACGCACACAAACACGAGGAACACCATGATGGTGCGCGTTTGAAGCTGTCTGATTGGTTCCACGAGCTCGTAGTGCGGGCAGCGTCCGGATTTGAAGTGAAACAAAGTATGACACTATCGCGCAGAGTTCCGCAAGTTCTTCCAATCTTGAATGCCGTCCTAATATATAAACTTACCAACCAGCTGTAAAGCATGACACCCTGCCACAACCGCGCCTTTTTAGCGCGTGTACTTCTTTCTGGGGCTTATCGCCCAGGCGGCGTCTACTTGCCCGTATAAGAGTGCGACTGCGCATGCCCGGAACGAGTTCCACAGCCCAGAGGACAAAGATGGCGGCGCGCAGAAGACGACCGTCCGAACGGCCTCTTGAACACTCTATACGCACCCGACATCTCGTCCGGGTGTGGTCGCTCGCCCTTGGCCGGGAAGACGATGCAGTCTCGAACGTGGTGCAGTCGCGGCACGTTCACCGCCGTCAGCCTCCGGATGTCCCCCGGGTGCATGCAGGGGTTCTTGGTCACGATCACGTCGCCTAAAGGTGCACATTGATAATCTGATAGTCGTCCAGAATAAACTCTTCCGTGCTTGTATAGCAGACGCGAAAATGCGTCTGATATAAACACTGACCCTTGAGGATGGTGGCTGGGTCGGTGGCCTTGTATCGAAACATGTCGTTGGAGTACTGGACGAACACCTGGCCGTACTCCAGAGTGTCGGTCTCGTCCAGGACGCCGAACATCGTGCGGCCTTTCTCCGGAGGAACCAGGATACGCGCCTTCGTCTTCAGGTCCTCTGCATGACCGAAAAAAAAAGTGTTCTTATATGTCATGGAGAACGAGCAGTGCATGAACAATCGCTTATACTTGCAGACCAAACGAATTGATGGAACTTAAATGAAATCAAATTTGAAGGAGCCCCATGCCAAACCAGCGAAAAACATCTGGCACGCCCCAGCCGACGTCTGGTGATACATTTCGACTACCTGGGGATCTTCCGACGTGCAACCCAAATCTCTGCAACACGGCGCCTTCTTCGCAATAGCCTCCTTTAGGATTGCGGGCATCTCGGCAAGGATTAAAAACCACAAACTGGAGATACGTAGGCCGGCACTTTGCTTCGAAGCCACCGAGGCGGCTGATAAAAAGAAAATCTAATCTACGCACTATACGCGATTTGGCAGTTAGGAAGGACCAAGTTCAACGGTCTACACGTTTTAAAAGAGCGAAGGCAAAGCAACAAAACTAACGGTATCACGCCATCTTGATTCTCTCAGTATCACATGCCTTTTTTGTTTAGTTCTTGCATAATTCTCGTCGCCTCCATGGAAGGAAACAAGCCACTCACTGAGGACCTTTCGGTTGACGGCCCGAATGAGGCCCCTGAAGAAGGGCTCGACGGTAAGGTCCACGCCGACGCCGGCCAGCTCTTTGTAGGGCAGGCGCAGGGCGCAGTAGCCGCAGAGCACCTGAGCAGCCTCGTGGGCGTCCAGCATGCTGTTGATGAAGGAGTCGAGAACGCGGTTCTGGAGCGCCAGGAACGCCTTGGCGCGGATGCCGCTCTGCTCCAGGATCGTGATCATGGGCCGGTTCAGGTACAGCACACCTGCAAGCCAATGCTCGCGCCTCAGAATAGTACGAGGTTTCGAACAAATAGAGAAGAGGATAAATAAATGCTATATCCTAAGCAAATGAGTGGTCGTTCGGGTGGACATTATGAGGCGTTTCTTTCCGTGTTTCCGACAATCGTTGGCAGGAGCAGGGGCGTGAGATATAGCGAGGATGCCCTGAAGGCTAACCAATTTCCACGGTGCCTATTTCAAAACTTCTGCGTCGTTTTTCGCGCCCAGTTGCACAGCCTCACGAACCGGGACGTCTCGCGTGTTTATGCTCGGTGGCTCGTTTGGCGCGCAGAACATAACCATTTAAGGCCAAGTCGCGCCACTGCTCACACTATGTAGGTGTTCAGGCAATGTCACTAGATTAAAGTCAGTTGTCTGGCGCCAATTTATGGCGCGTCCGCTCGCTGGTGCGCGCTATTATATCATCCTAAAGTCCCTCTATCCTGGGAAAAGTGGCGCCATTCGTTGCTGCGCAAAAGCTCGAGACACGTGCTGCGCGTCACTTCTGGGAAGAACTATAGGTGCCTTCATGTGCGCTTTGCTTAGGGTAGAATCATCTGGCCATTTTGTCCCACTTTTGATTTTGTTTTTTGTTCAGTAGCGCGTGAAAGAGCGTGTCCCTGCACGCGTTTGTGGCGCTGACTGTGCTATGGCGACATTTTGTTTTCGTTGATTTCTTTGCATTTTACCCGTGAGTGCGTGCTGTCCGCATCGGGTACTACAAAGGGTGGCATCACCCTAAACAGAAGGACATTGAGGCACCATATACTCTGTTTTATACTTAGCGCGCAACGCTGTCAAAGCTACAGGCGCGAGCGCGTGGCTTCATCTATGGTTTTGTTTGAGCGAGAATGCGTGCAAATGGTCAACAAGATCAAGCCCCATGCTCGTGCCAGTAGCTTTGACAGCGTTGCACACTTAGTATGAAACAAAGTATAGCAAGAACATGGCGTCTGAAATCTAGCTCAGTGCTGCGCTGTGCACCCTATGATATTCCCAAGGGCTGCACGTTGCACGTGTCTTGTGTATCGATGCACCTTGCGCTACTTTTGAAACATGAAGGGGCTTTATATCAATCCGCCCTGGACAGAAGCGACGGAACCGCTGAAACGTTGGATGCACATTGTCTGCGGTGGAACGAGATTCTATTGTGTTTTTCTTTAATTTTTAAAGTGAACGTAAAGTTTGTATAAAATTTCAGGTAAACGTTTGAGCAAAAAGAGCGTCGTTCGAAAACAGTGTTGCCGCTGGTGGCATTAGGAACATTATCCGCTCGTATCTGCTCCCATGCAGGCCACAGAGAAAACCCGATTTCGAACGCCGCTCTTCCGTTATAGTATACTGTACTTCCGTGGAGATTGTAAACTTATGTATCCAAAAACGTTGTGTTCCGAACAAGGTGTTCCGAAGCCGGTCAACATAAATTAATGAAGTGCTATAGACAATTGCAAGCGTGGCGCCTAGACTGGTGGTCCATGAGTGCAAGAGAAGCGGCATGCGAGTGAAGTTAAGTTTTTCCAGGCTCACAACTGCACATGCTTGCCCGCACGAGCAGAGAAATGGCGCCTGCCAGATTCCCTGCTTGCAATCGTTTAGTGGCGACTCAAGCAAAATAGACGACACCCAGCAGCCAGAACAAAAAGCTGCGGCGACATCATCGTGCGGCAGCCTTTTCGAGCGGATCGGAAATTCGCAGTGGGTAAAATGGGTAAATTTTGGGCTAACGCAAAAGGGAAAGCCAGGAACGGTACCCAGAGGACGCTGAAAAATCCTCACTTCGGCTAGTCGGCGACTTCCAGAAGTTCTCAAAGCTGAGATACGCAAGCTCTGTTTACGTGCACCCGCGCAATAAAATCGTTTTCACAAAGTTTCGCATTCGTCTTTCCATACCGTAGAACGCAGCACGAAACTATTGCGACAAAAAATGTACCGATCGAAGACTACAAGTAGACCATATGGAGTGTGCGATACCACTGTCGAGATGTGTGCTTATGTCGTCCTTTAGAAAACCAGAGTCTCGGTGGAGAGAGTAGCGTTTAATCTTCACCAGCCTGATTCTGTACTCTCGTTTTTCGTACCTAACTTCGCTTATACTAACGCAAAGAGTCTTCAATTAAGGACTTGTGGTGCCTTACGTGGCTTGCTGGTCTTGAGCACGTACAGGTCCTCATGGTCGGAGGGGAACTTGCACATGCTGGTTCGGAAGACGATCCGTCGGCCGGCCATGGTGGGGTCCACCAGGAGCATGCCCTTGCAGCCGCCATACCGGATCTGCACCGCGCAGGGCTCTTCGCCATCTTCCAGCTCGAGAGAGCGGTACACCTGGAGACCACGGTCGTCGGTCACAGAGCGCTCGGCTCTTTATTCTAACGAAGCCTCAGAAAAAACAAATCTGCTTTTCACTAAAAAAAAAAAAGAAATAAAGAGTGCAATGATTATTTTGTTGGGGGCCACATTATTTGTAGTCCAAGATCTATATAAAAAAAACTTAGTTTTGTGTGTATGTGTGTGCACCTGGACGATCTATTCTAGGCCTTACGCATCTACTCGTGCCTGTAGCGTATAATATAGCACATGCCAAAATTGGGTACGCTCTGCGACCGACACAATGAGTGCTAACAAAGTTTAGATCGGGGTTTCCCCATGTTTTACTCTAACAGGTTATTGTCGATACCCTATTTTACCACCAAAGTCGGTGCCTCGCAAAAAGAATTGTTACTAAACACGTGATGAGATACCATCAATTTAAATAATATCGGACTATTCCTTGTTACCTGTATCTGTACCTGTGCTATTACCTGTATCTATCGCTTTGTACAAACAGTAGCCACGACGGCCATTCCAGAAACAAAGCCTTCATGTTTCGTTTGAACGACCTGTATCTGACGCTTTGCACAAACAGTAGCCACAACGGCCATTCAAAAAACAAAGTGCGACACACCTTGCGCATGAGGGCCGGCGATATCCTACCGATCCCATCGCTGAAGATGTAGTCCCTCTTGGCCGCCTCGGCCAGCGCGGCCGCCGAGGCTCCTGGAGGCGCCCGACAGCGGACGTCCGCTTCCACGGCCGTGTACTGGCGCGGGACCGTGACGAAGCCCAGGGACTGCGAGAAGGCCTGTCCCATCCGAGCCATGAGCTTGGGCACGCTGCGGATGGACGACAGGTCCCCGATGCCCTGGCGGATGAGGTCCGCCGTACGGCCCACGGCGTCGCGGGCGTAGAACCAGACGCCGTGGTTGCGCAGTTGGCTCGTCGAGCAGCCCAGGAAGAGGAAGCGGCGGCCGCCGATCTTGATGCCCGAAGACAGCTGCGGCTTGATCACCTGCACGCCGCCACCCAAGGAGTCAAGCGGGGTTTGTAGCACAGTTCTTTGGGCTGAAATTTGTTTTTTTTTTTGCCTGGGAATTTAAGGTCTTAAAAAGGCCAAAGTACTCAAGGTAGATTCAAACTTGACGTTCGCTGGCCAAAGTCTGGGAATCTTGGCCTTAAATCGCCAAACAAGAGCCAAAGTTAGGCTATATTGCAAACCCTCGTATTTCCTTAGTAGCAAAGTGAGCTAGGCTTGTTCGGTTTTAGAGCGCAGCTCTTAGGGGCCCGTTTCCAGCCTGAGCGGCGTCGGCGTCGGCGTAACCGGGGGGGGGGGGGGGGGGGGTCACGTGACCCCCAGGTCACGTGATCCCCCCGAGGTCACATGACCCCCCTCCCCCGAAATCACGTGACCCCCCCGGGGTCACGTGACTACCCACAGGTGACGTGACCCCCCTCAGTACCCTTCCCTACTCCTCACCAAGAGCTGCGCTCCAATTCGGCGTTACAAAGATTTGTAAACGGCTTTCATTTTTTTTTCAACAATTTGTCCTGTTGTTTTTGCATCACATGTGCGCTTTCTCTCTCGGCGTCAGTCACCGTAGAGCTAATCCAGATGGGCAAGTAACGCATTACTATTAAGATGAAGTAATAACCTTTTTTTTTAATTCCGTGCCCAGTAACTTAGCCAGTTGCTATATGAGCGATTAGAAGTAAAAAAAAGTGAAAGCCGTTTACAAATCCCTGTAACGCCGAATTGGAGCGCAGCTCTTGAGGAGGAGGAGTGAAGGGTACTGAGGGGAGGGTAGACCCCTCCCCCTTCTCCTCCTCCTCCCCTCATTCTTTAATATGCTCCGGAGGGGGGGTGTCACGTGTCTTCGGGGAGGGGGTCACGTGACCTCGGGGAGGCGTGACCTGGGGGTGACCTCAAGGCCACGTGACCCCAAAGGTGACCCCCACGTGACCTTGGGGTCACGTGACCTGGAGGGGTCACGTGACCTCGGGGGGTCACGTGACCTCAGAGGGGTCACGTGACCTCAGAGGGGTCACGTGACCTCAGAGGGGTCACGTGACCTGGGGGTCACGTGGGGTCACGTGACCTTGAGATGACCTTGGAAGGGGTCACGTGACCTTGGGGGTCACGTGACCTTGGGGAGGCGACCACGTGACCTCGGGGGTCACGTGACCTCAGAGGGGTCACGTGACTTGGGGGTCACGTGACCTTCAAAGGGTCACGTGGGGTCATCTTGGGGTCACGTGACCTTGAGATGACCTTGGAAGGGGTCACGTGACCTCGAGGGGTCACGTGACCTTCAGGGGGTCACGTGACCTTGAGATGAACTTGGGAGGGGTCACGTGACCTTGGGATGACCTTGGTTACGCCGACGCCGACGGCGACGCCGCTCAAGCCGGGAACGGGCCCCTAAGAGCTGCGCTCTAAAAAGTTAAAGCCGTTTACAACTCCCTCTAACGTCGAATTAGAGCGCAGCTCTTGAGGAGGAGGAGGGAAGGGTACTGGGGGGGGTCAAGTGACCTTGGGTGGGGGTCACGTGACCTAGGGGGTCACGTGACGATGACGATGCCGATGACGTCATAAGTAACGATGACGATGCGGATACCGATGACGTCATCAGTGATGATGACAATGACGATGCGGATGTCGGTGACGTCATCAGTGATGATGACGATGACGATGCGGATGCCGGTGACGTCATCAGTGACGTCACTGATGACGTCATCAGCGATGATGACGATGACGATGCGGATGCCGGTGACGTCATAAGTGACGTCACTGATGACGTCATCAGCGATGATGACGATGCGGATGCCGGTGACGTCATCAGTGATGATGACGATGACGATGCGGATGCCGGTGACGTCATCAGTGATGATGACAATGACGATGCGGATGCCGGTGACGTCATCAGTGGTGATGACGATGACGATGCGGATGCCGGTGACGTTATCAGTGACGTCACTGATGACGTCATCGGGGGTCACGTGACCCCGGGGGTCACGTGACTTGGGGAGCCACGTGACTTTGGGTGTCACGTGACCTTGGGGGTCACGTGACCCTGGGGAAGGGGTCACGTGACCTTGGGGTGACGTTGGGGAGTCACGTGACCCCTGATGACCCTTGGGGAGGGGTCACGTGACCTTGGGGTGACCTTGGGGTCACGTGACCTTGGGATGACCTTGGGGGTCAAGTGACCTTGGGATGACCTTGGTTACGCCGACGCCGACGGCGACGCCGACGCCGCTCAAGCCGGGAACGGGCCCCTAAGAGCTGCGCTCTAAAATGCACAGTCGCCTTTCTTAAAAAAAAAAAAGGAAATGTGTGTACCTATTTGGATGGTGTACGAAAGAAGTGGAGAGAAAAGCGTCCCTACCGCGCTCAGAAACTCGTCCTTGCAGGCACCCAGAGAGAAAGAGACGAGCTTGCAGTCGTCGTCCCTCACCACCACCCGCAAAGCGTGCTCGGGGTCAAAATGCTGTAGCAGCCTGCTCTTGCAGACCAGCTGTGGTGGCAGGTAGATCTTCTTGGTGGGCGTCAGGACCACCTTGCGCACCTTGACCATGTGGTGCGGGTGCTCTTGGGCTATCACGGACCCCGTGAAGGCGTCGTTGCGGAGGCGATGGGTGCGGTACTTGACGTACAGCGTCTCCAGGGCGCTCAGGAATCGAACGAACTGCGAGGATTGCACAATATTATTGTAGCCATTGATAGCTGAAGAAATGCATGACGTGGCGAGTCGTGAGCACGAGCATTTTATCGCCCCGCAGCTTATCAGACTGCGGCATCAACGCATAAGGACGCCGAAGAAGGAATCACAGAGCAATAAGCGTGAACACAACAAAACACACCCTAATTTCTTATGTTATCGGCGACTATAGGAGCACTGTGAAAACCCGGGTTGCGTCTAATGATAAGATGAGGACTGACGCTTCGTTGGTCGCGTCATAAGGATATTACAATAAAGAAGACTTTCGACAACTCTACTCCTAAAAGAATAAAGAAAAATATAAGCAAAATCAGCAAAATCACACCGTAATCTAAACCCTGAGACACGAGACGAACAAGACGACACTGAATCTCAATTTGTGTCGTCTTGTCCATTATTTTATTTTTCCTTGTCTCGGGGTTTAGATTGTGATGTTTCCTAACCAACTTGCTTTTAGACCTTCGCTGCTTGCAAACAATAACAGATGAACTCTACAGAAAGTATTTACAGTCTGCCGTAGCTGACCGTTGCTGCTATGCGTACTGACGGAGAACCTGGATTACGCTTACCAACGCGCGTCCCACACCGTCAACATGAACGCTTTCACAGCGCATGCTCGTTCTCAGCATGTGCTATGAAGGGGGTGCTTAAAACGGCGACCTCTTAATACAGCGCACTCACTACCTTACTGTTTCTAAACCAGTGCGTATGACCCCAGGAACTGTGAACAGAGATCGTGTGCGAAACCCGTTTTTCTAAAAGGGGACCGCCTGCGCATGCTTTGTTTTTTATTCAGCGCCATCGCTTTGAAGTGACGTCATAAACGTGAGCTGGTGTATATGATTTGTTACAACAAGCTGCTCACTTCTAAAGCATATCAAAAGTTGTCAAATTCTCTGCCAAAAGTTAAGAATGGAATGTCTTCAAGTCCCTCACCTTTCCCTGGCTCAGCGAAAAGTAGATCTCAAAGAGCGCCTCTTCGAGCGCACGGGGACACTCCTGGACCATCCAGGTCAGCTTGCGCAGTGTCTCTCTGCAACCCTCGACGTCCATAGCCAGTTCATCCGCCACTTGGAAGCTCCCGGACCAGACGCTGAGCATGGCATACGTGCAGCCGTAATCCGCCACGTTAGGTCTAGGCACCACGCGCGCGTCCCGCGCCCGCAGCTCTTTGACGGCAGCGTAGAAGACCTCGGCGCTGCTCCTCGTCCTCACTACCAGGTTGCTGAGCGCGTCCCAGTGCTTCCAGCTGCTGAACGTCAGCCGTAGCACCCTGGACTTGCCCAGCACGTCCACACCGCATCTGGACGGTCCTTCGCCGAACTCGACGGCCCGGTCCCAGGCGGTGTTCTCGGAGACCTCGAACTGCGCGAGATATTCGCCCTCGGGATTTCCGGAGCACACTCTGTACAGCAGCGGCGAGTGGAGCAGGTGGATATAGACCGTCGTCGACTGGGCGGACGTCTTGCAGAAGACCATTCTGCAGATGGATGAGTACCGCACCATCAGGCGGTACCGCTTGGACGGTTCCTTCTTTCGGGAGTCTACGAAGTAGAGGTAGAGCACGTTGTAGCAATGTTCAAAGTGCGCGTTGACCTGCGTTATCCTGGAGCCCTCGACAGGTGCGTAGCAGCTGTCGAAGTGCTCCACGAATGTGTTGTAGCCGAGAAAGCCGCCCAGGGCGAAGGAGGTGATGGGGACTTCCTTGTGCTCCATGGCCACGACGGCGTCGTAGGGGCTGCAATGGGTCTCGAGCTCTTCGGATGCAAGTAGCCATTCGGGAACTGTGAAGGTCTTGGAAGCGCCACGGTTCAGCAACTGCTGCCAGGTGTCCAAGTTGCACCTTCGAGTGATAATGAATATAGCGCTTTTTTTCTGGACATAGCACCTGACTTGCTCTTAGGGTCTGACATGTCTACGCTAATCGCCAGATGTGTGGAATAAATATTTCAGAATAACTTGGTACCGTTTAGCTGAAGCTCGATGTGCTGCAGAAAGCGTTAAGAAGCAGACTATTCTTGAGTCAAACTCTGCTAAACTGAAGCACGCAAGGCTTACTATTATTATAAAGATAAAAGTGAGGGCCACTCAAGAGCATTGAGGGTTTGAGAACTCATCCGTAGTCCCTACCCAGTCCCTACATAAACAGCTTTTCGTCTAAAGAAAATCTGTCATCTTCAGCTGGTATTGAAACAAAAATAGCAATGACAAGGTTTGGACTAATGTATTACACGTTCCTAGTGTACAAGTAATGAGGATCCTTAACATGGGTGCAGAAAATTTATTCGGTATAACGAACAGTTTTGCCCGATCAGTACACTTTGGTGCCATTCAGCCAATGTACAGTGATCGCCGGGATGGGCAAAATATTTCTAAAAAGGTATTTAAATACATATACAAAACACTTTGACAAAACTGTATTTAAATACAAATTCAGTTACACGAATAAAAAAGTTTTTGAATACAAGATGCAAATACAACGAGAGTACTTGATCATCTTCTAATACTTTTTCAAATACATTTTGTTCTCGAAAATTGACATCTTAGACTTACATTTAACTCAAGCAAACAGGACCCTGCCCAAATAAAGAGTCGAGTTTGTATATACTGAGAATAGTGCTTAAAAAATGTTGCAGCTCTAAAGATAAATTTGTTTGTCATGACGCCATAGGTGGACACAACATAAGGAAACACAATGTATTCAGTAAAAGATTAATTTAAAATGCTGAGTTGATACAGCAAAGCCTTTCCAAATACCATGTCATTAATTCTACATGTTTAAAAAATTTGATCACCCACCAAAAATGGCAATAATTATAATCATCTCTTTAATTCTTTGTTTTACTCTTTCATTTTTTTTTTTTTCAATGTTTATTCTGCGCAAAGCGCAGCAAGTTCTTTGTATGACTCCCTTTGCGAAGAGTGCCTCCTATCACGTTCGATTGCGAAGAGCCGTGCCCAAAATGGTATTTGAGACTGCATTTAAAACACTCAATTTTAAGTACTTATATACAGTCGACAAATACATTTCCCAAGATGTAATCAAATACAAAATACTTAAAATAATTATTTTAAAAACGTATTCCAAATACTCGTTTTTGAAATATTGCCCATCCCTGAGGTGGACGGCATCATAAGCTGGCCCAACCAAGCGCCAGCCGAAGGAAAAAAAAAAAAAAACATCTACACGGTGTATTTTTTTGTGCCTTAAAGGGGCGATGCAACGATTTTTGTATTTTGCGCAAATACCGCTTAGAACGGATTTCTGACGTTAACGACCTGTGAAACACCGGTTTGATTTCACCACATGCCATCAAAGTCGCAGCAAAAATGAGAAAAAAAAAATTAAAGAAAAACGAGCAGCGTTCATTTTCTCAACTCGCAGCCAGAACATGCGGCCACATGATCTGGAGCCGATTATATGCCGCCAATGTTGATCATAGCCGCGCGCTGGGGTTGCCAAGGCACAGGACACGCGTTGAGTTCCAGATATTGTTATGGTTCGGCTATTGTCGCCATTGCAGCGATTGGACACTGGCCACTGCCCGAATGCCCCCCGAGCTATCGATTATTACGAGCTGAAATCGAGTGCTCACGCAATGTTCGGGTCCAATCTATGAGCCGCATTTAAATATCGTCACTGAGAGGTACTGCAATCCCCCAGTTACGTTTTCAAGTTTCGCGAAGGAGAGATTAAATGAAAACGCTCGCTTTTGTCCTTCAAATGAGACCGGAACAAAGGAGTTTCTTGGCCAGTGGCGCTGTGTGCGAGTATCCTTGAGTCCCACTAGCGCCAGTAAGCTCGTGTAAAGTGAAAAACATTCTGACTGAATGTCGTTACACCGCGCCTTTGATTTGAGCCAGACGTACCGAATCGTCTGCCATAAACAACAGTCTCAACGTTGCAAAATGTATCTGGTGAACATTCGCGACAGCAACGCGCTTAGTCACACACAGCTATGGCCGCCGATGAATACTTCCTAGAGGATAAGACTTGTATATTACGTCGACATCAGTGAATCCCCAACCCGTCCCAAGCGGCAGATGTCGCTGAAGATTGAAGCAAGTATAAAAGGCAAAACAGCAGACGCGACTATGCGGAGCGCAAGTTCTGACTTCTTTCGCAGAGGTTGCGGTGACGTCAGAACGCCGAATTCTGGTTGGCTCTGATGGAGGGGTAGTGGGTGGACTTCAACGCTAGCTACCTTGAGGACTACCCACTATCCTTCCAATCGGAGCCAATCACAACTCGGCGTTCTGACGTCACCGCAACCTCTGCTGCTCTGCTGAAGAAGCAGATGAACTTGCGCTCCGCATAGCTTGGTGCAGCCACGTGGCAGAATCGCCCTCATTGAGGGACGATGCACGACGCCGCCTTGCGGACCTCGTCGCAGCAACGCGGACGCGAGCAAGACGGCGCTGCACGATGCCCTTAGTGCCTAGGTGGCGCAAGCCGCCACCCGATTCAAAAGATTCAGCCTCATCTATCCATTCAGTATTGACGCCAAAAGAGGAAAGGCGAAGGCCTTCTCTTCTACAGTTGGTGACAAGTTCAAAAATCAGTAGAAGCTCCGCCTCCCAGCACGCGTTCGCTTCCTTTCACTGTGTTTTGGTTGCGCGTGTGCCGAAGTGTTACCAAAGGCAAAAGGCTCACGCGGAAGGTGATCTGCTGTATTCTTAAAGCATCACCGACCATAGTGTGACCGCCATTGGTGCGTGCGCCGTCGATCGGCGCTTGCTGGAAGCAAGCTATCACAACATTAATTTCATAGAACCCAGGCTGGTTCACGCAGCCCCCTTTCATATACGTTACGTAACGAAAGTTTACGTTGTATATACGCCACAAGTCACCGGGACATCTGTGCTTCATATGAAGCGTGGCTAGCAGATCAAGGAAATAGCCTGGCCCGCGAGAAGACGTAAGAAAACAATGCTGTGTGAACCCTACTTAGATTGCTCGTAGAAGATCGACAATCTCTTTTACAAAAGGCATTTCCCCACGTCAGCATAGACAATAGACTGAAGCCTGGTTCAGACAGTTGCGTTTGACTGCGTTGCGTCGAGAACCGGAAGCGAGTCACCGGCACATCTGTGCTTCGTATGAAGCGTGGAATCCAATTCAAGGAATCGTCTTGGCATGCGATATAAGCAGCAGGGATATCCTGGTTTCTCGCTGCCGCAACGCAGTCAAACGTAGTCAAACGCAACTGGCTGAACCAGGCTTGATCCCACCAGTCATTCTGACTACGCCACCCTGCCGCAATGCATCGAGGAAACTTCAGTCTTTCTGCACGTGCAATAACCTTGCTTGAGCTCAGCGCTTGTGGAGCACGAGACGGCACGAGCCCTCACATGCACGGCGGTTTGCCTCCCGTGAGCTAAAGCTATGGCGGCGCCACGCATGCGCCGAACGCTTTATGAGATCGGTCTATTGCAAGCATGGCACCTCGGCTGGACAACCATGCGTGCAAGCACGTGCAGCTTGCGCGCCTTTGGCAAACTTGCAATTGCACCGGCTCGCCCACACAGAGAAATATGGCGGTGGTCAGCCGTCCCGTTTGCAATCATCTCTACGTGGCTTGCACGTGATGTCATCACATAAAGCTGGTGGTCATTCTTACGCGAAGAGCAAGTCGTCTGCTTTTTACGCAGGAATTGCGGTGACGTCAGAACGACACCGAGCTCCGATTTGCTATGACCCAAAGGATAGTGTGTAGACTTCAAAGCTAGATGCTTAAGGTCTACCGACTATTTTTTGAAACAGTCAGTAAAAGCTCGGCGTTCTGACATCATCGCAACCCCTGTGGAATTAGCAGATGAACTTGCGCTCCGTATTTGTTCTTGCCGAGTAAAATAATTTCGTTGCATGCCTACAGCAGGAGGTACGCCCTCAGTAGCAAGGCCACCAGAATCGCAGTCAATGTGACGTCATGCAAACTATGCATACACCGCTTCCATTGATGTCACATCGGCTGCCACTGTGGAGGCCTTGGTGCTGAACACGCACTTTCTGCAGCACGCATTGCGCACCACAAACTGTTTTTCTCGGCAAG